GAGAATAAAAAAATAAATAAAGAAGTAGACGTGTCTATATTTTCACAAGTACCAAATTGGCATATTTTAAAGAGAAAAATAAAACAATCTTTTGATTGAGACAAAAGAAAGAAAAGAAAGAAATGTGTGCATATATTTTGATTGAAGTACTAATTTAGCATATTTTGAAAAAACCAAACCCAAATGCTTTCTTTTGATCGAGACGAGACATCGCAATTAACCAACCCTGTTCTTGCAAGCTTTGTTTGGTTCCAAGGATATTTATTCGATACATTGAATGTTCTAGAAACTTTATTAATATTTGTCAACTTCAACGCTCACGTAGCTTCTCTTTATAGGTTGAAGGCTTGAATTCTCATTCTCGCGCTATTGTTTGTGTTATATATTCTTAGCTAGTTAGAAAAATTAAGAATCCATTTGACAACGTTCTCGTTCCCTATTTCTTGTTTTTTTTCTCATTTTCTGAAAATAGACATATTTGATAATCTATCTCGTTTATCGTTTCTAAATTTTGAGAAACGTTTAAAAAAAATGACTAAATTTTGGAAACTAGCCTCCATGTCCGTGGTTCGAATCTTGTGATTAATGGAATACTAATCTTTTTTTTTTCTTTTACTATTTTTTTGATAAAATATTTTATACAAAATTTGTATATGGTGAATAGATTACATTCTTTTAAAAACCCTAGTGCATTGGAGATCATTTTTAATAGTAGTACTTTTAATCAACTTTCTTTTTCTATTTTTTTGAAAAAAGTAATAAGTATTTGTGAAAGCTCTAATAAAAAAACAGGTTAATTATAATTATTTTGATGCTTGATTCTACATTTAAAAAATTATTCATGAGTGTGTTGGGTTTGCAAATACTCCAAACAAAGTATTATAGGGAAGTATTATAGGGAAGAGAATGATATATGACATATAGACGAAGACAATTATCTAACTTTATAGGAAACCATAAGAGTTATGTTAAAAACAGATAATATCATATTATACGATTGTAGAGATACTTCGTGGTACGAGGGTACCATTGTTCTTAGAGTGTTTTTTAATCAAGTGATATAAAGATATAAATTACTTTCGAAGGTGTTTTTAATTTGATATAATATTTAGAATTCTCAAAAATTATTTTTGGACATAGAATCAAATGCCATGGAAATTTTGTATTCTCAATTATTACAAACCCATATCAAACTCTCTAGCTAGTTCACTTACAAAACACTTTAAAAAAATGCAAATGATAAGATATAATGAAAGAACAATA